TCTCTCTCTCTCTCTCTCTCTCTCTCTCTCTCTCTCTCTCTCTCCATACCTCCTTCCCTCCCTCCCTTCCTCTCTCCCTCCCTCTCCCTCTCTTTCTCTCTCTCTCTCTCACTCTCTCTCTCTCTCTGCAGTCATGAACTGTCTATAGTTCTTCATCTAGAGATGGGACCTTGTGAAACTTCCTCCATTCACATTAGCATGTTAACTGATGTCATTATGCAGATCTTTTTTTAGGCAACCATATTGTTGAGATTTCATGGATGCAGCTTCCCTGTCACGTCTAGAAGACACTAGTAGCAAGTGTCCTGGTCCTCTGGCTTTTACAATCTTTACTTTCTTCCATGATCCCTGAGCCATAGGTGTAGGGATTACATTGTAGATGTACCTATTGTGGCTGGGCACTCCAAGGTCACTAATTCTCTGCATTTTGACTAGTTGTGGATTTCTACAATAAGAAGTTTCTTTGATGAGGGATTAGAGCTACACCTATCTGTGGGCATGAGGTAAGTAATCAGAATTCAGTTAGAAATTATATTGGCATTTATTTAAAAAGTTATGTCTTTGAAAGTTTACATGGTTCTATCTGTGGCCTCCAAAGGAAGCTGAGAGTCAAATTGAAGCAAATACTCAGATTTTAAAAGTGCTCAAGGACTTTAGGGGAATAATACTTGCTGTAGTCATTCTGAGTCATTCTACTTTCTTCTTTGTGGCTGTGGACTCAGGACATGTGCCTTCCTCTCATATATAAAAGAAGGCCTTCTCTTTGTCTGCCCTGTCTTAAGTTGATAAGGAGAAATTACATTCTTATAACCAAACTGTATTCTTATATAATGTCCTTCTATGATTAGGCCATTTTAATTTCCTCTTCTTTACTTACTAAGTAGATACTTGAAATGCAACTCTGTGATGTTTTGCTACCCAATGATGTTTTATTGCCTTGAGATGTTTTATTACTCTATGGTGTTTTCTAACTATGACTTATCATGAAAAGAGACATAGGCCCATGTAGCAACCATTAAATGATGTAAAAGGCCCTACATAACCTGACTTATGTTGCTTGGGGCCCAGAAAATCTTAGTCTTGGTTGCTAATTCTGGTACCACATGCATGTGAGAGAGTAAATGAGCTTTCTGACTCTCTCCTGGGTTGATCTCTTAGCTGTTGGAAAAATTGTCTATTAGCAAAGTGATAGCACTAAAAAACAATTAAATCCAAATCTAATGTGCAAAATAAACCAATACTGATTTAGATAAGCCATGAAACCAGCCTAGGACCAGGTAGAGGAATCAGTCCTACTTCCAGCTCCATTTTTACAGAATCTGCTTTCTCTGAAATGATATGGACAACAATGCTTTCAGCAGGTTGCTACCTGATTAAAAGGAGCACGATTCTTAGTCAATCAGAGCAGCTTTTCCCCATCCAGATCTTTGAGAAAGAATATTGCCATGAAATGAATTACTCCCCTTCCTCCAAAACTGCATCTATATGCTGATGTCCCAACTTTCTGTGGGGCTATATTTGGAGATAGGGCCTGTAAGGTAGTAATTAAGGTTAAATAAGATCATAAGTGTAGGACCCTGATGAGAGGCCAATGCCCTTGTCAAAAGGACACCAGAGCACTTATCCTCCCTCTAGGCCATGTGGAAACACAATGAGAAGGTGGTCATCTACAAGCTAGGAAAAAGACCTTCCCCAGAAAACAAATTGATGTTGGATTTCCCAGATTACAGGACTTGAAAAATAAATTTCTGTTG